GGTCAGAGGGAGAAGCAGGGAGCCCGACGTGGGACTCGATCCCGGGACCCCAGGATCACGACCTGAGCCGAAGGCAGTCGCTCAACCGACTGAGCCACCCAGGCGCCCTTAAATCACTTTTAAATGACGATATTTGGCTCTACTTCTTACATTTCTTTGGATGCGGTTTTTCATGCGGTGAGGGAAGGGCGGGAGGAGATCCCAAGGAAGCAAAGGCGACTCCGTCCCTTTGCCTTCTCCACCGCAGGGCAGCTCCTGAGGTGGCTCCTGCAAAAATTAAACCCGAAGCCTCAAGTCTTCCCCGTAAGGCTCGCCTGGCAATACCAAGAAGTGACCACGGGCCGTTCAGGTCCTTTCACTGATGCACAAGGCAGTACCACAAGGTCCTCGCGGGCTTTTGAGCACCGAGGTCAGGCGGCCTAGGCTTCTCACCGCTGTTCGCCGGGCAGACGACGCGCTGTGGGAGCGCCCGGCTCGCCGAGGGGCTGGCTCACCGCGACGGCCGGAGGCCCCGAGGAGACACATTACCTGTCAGAGCCGTCCGCTGAGCCACCGTCACTACGGGCATCGCTGACTTCCCGGAGTGAGCAGTCATTGCTGGAAGACGACCTCACGTCCTAAACGCGGAGCAAGCTTGTCTCAAGACTCGAACCGCCGCACCGCCTCCGCGTCGGAAGCCAACAGGTTCACTTCCGGCGCCGCTTCTGACCTCCCGGGCGCGGCCGGAAGTGGCTTTCCGGAAGCCTGCGCGCAGCGCGTAAAGCAAGATGTCAGCGCTCTCTTCGAAGCGATTGTCCAGTCTTCGTTTTATTTCTACCACTTCCCTATCCGCCAGGGAATCTCGACTTCCATCACCGATCCAGTGTTTCTCAGCATAACACGCTCATGTTTCAATTTCATTCTGCTGGGGTGGAAGATGGGCTGGAGGCAATGTACGGCGACGACCATGAGCGCCGTAGGGCACCATTTTGTACGGAAATCAAAGGCCGGGCGGGGACGAGGTAGTCGGGAACCCAGACGTGGCCCCGCGGACCAGAGAGCGTGTGGGGAGGGGCGAAAGGGCAGGGGGGCGGTGTTAGCGGATGATGTATTTCCGCTTCCTCTCGGCAGAGTCGCATTTGGTTGGACGGGATTGTTGCGGGGAGGGAGGGGGAAGATTGTTTGCGGTGGAGGAGCTCAGTGTACGGGAAGGTAAACTGAGGTAAGGTTCTGCGTCGCGGGGGGTGGAGGCTTTGCGCCCGGCTGTGTAGGAGGACTGGGGGCAGGGTCTTGGGGATTGAGGGAGAGCGTGGGGTTGGAGGAGGGAGGCTCAGACTGTCCGCAGGTTTGGAGAGAGGTGGGGCGGGGCTGGGGGCTACTAGGTGAATTGCAGAGCTGGGGTCGGGGGTGGGGTGGAGTGGGGGCGCGCGGAAGGAAGGGGAGGGTGGAGAGAGGGTCGGAGCGCCGAGGCAAGTCTGGAAGCGCTGGTCGGGGAGGGGCTGGGACGCGGGAGGTGTAGGACCTCCAGTCCTTGAGGGCTGGGGAGAGTAGTTGCGGTGGGTCTGCTCAGAATGTGCGAGTCTGGAAGGCCGAGGGTTTGGAAGCGTCTGGTGGCCCAGGTATGTTCTGATGCTGCCCGTGTACTTGGCCTTTGTTGCCCGTGCAGCTCCCCGGAGACTGTCGCCCCGCAGCCTCGGTTCGGGCCCAGCCTTCCTCTCCAGCTGCCACCACAGCCTGGAGGCGCCTGCCTCCGCCCTCCCGAATGGTGCTACTCCTCGCAGGCCTCGGCCCGGGATCCCAGCCCCCTTTGCCCCCCGCCTCGGAGCGCTTGCTCCGGGTCGCCCCTGGTGGACTCCCCGTGACGGGCAGGGAAGGACTTCTCCACAGACGAGGCTGTAGCTCCAGGAACCCCGCCGACGACTTGAATCTTGGCCTCTAATCCAGTGTGAGGTTATTCCTCTGTCCCCTTTCCACCCGCCGAGAAGAGAAACCCTTCTTCCTGCTCCCAGAGCCCGGGAAGCCCCAAGCTGGGGCCCTGGTCCCAGCATGTCAGTCCTCTCTTGTGCATAGGGCTGTGCCCTCTCCCCGTTAGCATGGCTGAATTCAGGCCGGTTCCGGGGGGGCGGGAGACCCCGCAGGGGGAGCTGCGCTCTGAGGTGGTGGAGGATGAAGTCCCTCGGAGTCCAGTCGCAGAGGAGCCCGGAGGAGGCGGGAGCAACAGCAGTGAGGCCAAATTGTCTCCGAGAGAAGAGGAAGAACTGGATCCTCGAATACAGGTGAGAAGACTGAGGGGGAGGGAGAGCCCCGGAGCCCAGATTCCGGTTTTCCTGAAGAGCCGCAGATAAATGAAGGGACTGGGGCAGGAAAGGAAAGCACCTTGTCAGCAAATCGCGGCAGTATGGTGGGACAAGTGCTAAGAGAGCTGCGTGTGACGCCAGAGCAGAGAAGGGCCGCCTGGGTGCCTGGGCTGGGCTCCTGAAGGCTGAGCTGACAGTGAAGCAACAAATTGGCATCAGATGCGGGGCCTCATTTAGTTCAGTGGGGAGTACAGCTGTTGTACTCCTTTCCGAGTAAGTAAAGGGGCTGTTGGCTCAGGGATGCGATGTGAGAGGGGTGATTTGAGATTGGGAGGCAGTTTTAAATCCTCCCCGCCCCCCCCCCCCATCAGTGCCTCCTGGGGATGTTCACATCTGTAAAGGGTGACATGTTTCCTGTCTTATAATGGCTCAACAGATGGAGGCCTACAAGGAAATCCGATGTGTTTCGGGAGTTGTATCCGCCATGGTCAGTCCTTAGTGATACAGATTCCCAGTTCTGAGGATGCTGGTTGTATCCAATGAACGGAAAAGCTGGTTTATTACCTTGGAGTATTTACAGGCTAGTAGTTGTTAGGATGGGCAGATCTTTGAAGGAGACCTCAGGGCACTGGGTGAAGAGGACAGACACTATTGCGGATGAGATGCATGGTCGGCCAAGGTGGGATTGTAGTGTTTCCGGGCAATGACCGGGGAAACTACTTGGGCAGGTGAGGGCAGGAAGTTCTTGTGTGTTGGGGGCTGAGTCTGCTGTAAGGTCTGGCAGCATCTCTAAGATTTTGATGTGTAGGTGACTCACACCCCTGTAGGTGAGCAAGAGCATCTCAGGGCTTGCATTCCTGGGCTCCTCTGCCAACAGACCTTTATTAGATTGTTTCTGTGAGTCAAGAAGAAATCAAATCTGATCCTAGTATCCTCCTGCCCTCTTGGTGGGGGTTCCGTGGACATTGGGGCAGGGAAACTGTGTCCATGCTTTCGTTGGAGCTGTGGTGAGCCATTCGTTTACTGGCGTGGGTCAATAATTTATTTCTGCCACGTCTCATGGGTGTTGCATTGAAAACAGCTCAGTTTCTCCTGCTAATTCTACAGATTTGTTGTCTGCCGAGGAAGTAAGTTGTAGTGAAAACCACGTTGGCTGAGACTGAAGCAACCTCCAGCCTCATGATTTGTGATTTTCATGCAAGTTATGTAATCTGTGAGCCTCACCTTCATCTGTACAGTGAGGGATTGGTCCAGCTGATTTGCACAACTCGTCGCTCTGCTCTGACATAGTCCTGATTCTTTTCTGTCGCAACTCTTCTGCTTATCTCTTGGTGAAAGTTTGTAGGTAGTACTTTGGGAAAGAGACCCCTATGTGTTCTGCGGGGAGGAGGGCTGTGTGATGCACTTCATACATCTCCTTCCAACGTCCCTTGCTCTGCTCCAGGGGAAAATCTACTGTGGGTGGATTCTTCGCTCAGTCTCTCCTGCTCCTGTGTGTTTTTCCAGTGTGCCCACACAGGCAAAGGCCGCAGTGTGAAGAATCTTATGTTGTGCTGTTCAGTAGAGTAGCTGTTAGCCGCATGTGGCTATTTAAGCAAAATCAATTAAAATTAAATAAAAAATAAAAATGCAGTTCTCAGTTGGTGTTGCAGAAGTAGAACATTTCCATCATCAGAGTTCTATAGGATGAGCTCTGTGGGGGTCGGAGAGTACCAAGCAGGCATAAGATTTGCCTTGGATCCAGGGACCTTGCAGTGTTACTGGAGTGAGAGGGACAGGCAGACCATAGTCTCTTGCTAGACTGGGAGGCACACAGTGGGATGGTATGGGTTATGTAGGGAGGGAAGGTCTTGTTGTAGAGGCCTCCACCTTTGACGGCATCCTCGTGGCTGGGCCAGTGCCCTGTCCTTAGCAGGGCCTTTGCATCTTCTTGCCGTGTGGGAGAGGTAGCCCGGTGTGAGGGGCACCTCTCACAGAGAAAGCTGGTAGCATTCAACCCTTCTGCATTCGGAAGAGGTTGGGGCATGTGTCATCTGAGCTCCCTCCTGGTGTTGACAGTGCACAAGGCCATGTTATTCTGGTAACTGTGTTTCTGTGCTTTAAGTGGATTCTCAGTGTATTTTGTGGGTCTCCACCAACAGATCTGTCATCCACCAGCAGGTTTTAAAAACACCCATTCCTGAGCCATACCAAGACATGTGAATTCTGGTCTTGGTGGGGTGCGAAGTGGATCCAACATGCAGCCGACACGTCTCTACTGAGCCAGGGATACCCCAAAGGCTAGGGACTCCATTCACGTATTTTCTGAAACTCCCAGAAATGGTTGCTCTTAAGGCAAGGCTCTTACTCATGTGGGAAATAGGGTTTCTCGGCAGGCAGTTCGTGTCCCTGTTGTCTGGTGGGATGCCTCTGGAAGTTGGAGGGAAGCCAGCTGGAGGCCAGCTCTGGGCCTCCCTGGAGTGTGCTATCCCCCCAAGGAAGGCCACTGGCTTAGTCTCCATGCCTTGACCTCAGCATAGTTCTCTGAGGCCTTCAGGCTGGTCCTCAGCTTTCCGAGAGGGTCCCAGTGGAGGGAAAAAATGAAGGAGGGTGGTGCTAGGATGGGTCTGCGTCTCTTCCCCTGTGACTTTCTCAGTTCCTCTTGTGATGGGCGCATTCATCCTCAGGTGAGTGGATATAGTCACTTACCTCCGCCGTAGACTCTTCAGAGTGACTTGGCAATCTCTTCATCCTCATCCAAAGTATCAGGTTATCTCTCACAGGACAGTCATAGTTCCCTTATTTCTCAGTCCTTGGGCCATGGATCACCCTGGCCCTGCATCACCATGGGCTTGTGTCTTTTAATGGCCTGCACAAGGTGGGCAGGAGCATCTGTGGGCTGAGCATCCATGCCTTTGACTCAGTGGCCTGGCATCTTTGGAATGCGCCCGGTGTGCCCCGGGAAGGTCACCCTCCCTGCTGGTTGCAGGCTTACTGATGGATGATGCATGCTGACTCAGACTTCATCGTGTTCAAATTCTGTTTCAGCCGAGTGCCTGGAGTCCCTGGTGGAGCGGGCCAAACGGAATGTGTTGCCAGCTTCCCAAAACAGAGCCCTGAGTGCTCATTGGCTTCCCGCTCAGCCTTGCCCTGGGTCTGCCCCAGCCTGGTTGTCCACCCTGCCCTCTAGCCTGTTCTGTTCCCCAGTCTCCTGGTCCTGTTAGTAAGAGCTTTGCGACTGGGTGGTGGACCTCATCATCAAGAGATTTTAGTTGCTGGAAGTGCTGTGTGGGCGCAAGTTCCCTTACAGAAAGATGAGCCTGCTCCTGCCCTTTGCCGATAGCCGGAGCCCTTCACATCCTTTTTCCAGTGGGGATGATTTATGTAGAGCCATTCATTGCTGTGATGACCTTGTTAGGATCCGGGAGCACTTTGGGCCGTGGAACTGAGTGGGATCCAGTCTTGAACCTTGGTTTGCCCATGGGAATGTTGCAGGATGGCCTTTACTGACCTCCTCTCCTTCTCTAGAATCAGTTTGTTGCCTCCTGAGGCATGCATGTCTTTTTCCTACCAGGACTGTGGTTTTTCTAGGTGATTGTACTCCTGTCTTCTCGAGACATCCATCCAAGGATGTCCTTAGTCCTAGGATGGTGGTCACAATAGCAGGAAAGCCAGATTCCTCATCAGGTCCCAGATCCAGTTTCAGTTCTGCCCCTAATTCCCTGCTTCATTGTTTCTTACCTAGCGAATTTGAATGAGCTGAGAGAGAATATTCTTGCAGGAGCTGCTGAAAAGCACCGTTACCTCTTCTCCCAGATAGTCTGAAACCCGCTGTGGGCCTAATCAAGCCAGAGGAGACTAGGCTTACAGTGGGAGAGGTTACCTCTCATCCTGACAGGAACTGCCTTTTTTGAGGGCCCTTGGGGAGATTCCATCAACTGAAGGTGATGTCTTGGGTAGGAAGGCTCTGTGAAACCTAGAGCTCCGTGTGTCTGGTGGTGCTGGCTCTGCCCCTGGGCCTCTTCTGGGGTCCTTTGAGCCATGTCATCTGCTTATGGTTCCACAGTGTTTTGTTGTGATCTTATGGTCACTGGGTTGTGTGACTAATGTGCACCAACTTCTAGACCCCCAGTGTCCAGTGTGGGAGCCACATGCCGTTGGTCAGGTTGAGATGTGCCCTAAGGGTCAAATGCACAAGGATTTCAAAGGCATATGTTAAAAAGAATGTAAAAATGTTTTATAATTTATGTTGTTAACATGTTAAAATTATAATATTTTGGATATTTGGGTTAAATGGAATGCATTGTTAACAATTTAACCTGTTTGCTTTTGCATTTTTTTAAATGGTTGCCAGAAAACTAAAAATTCAATGTGGGGCTCACATATTTTTGTTGGACTGTTCTGCTCTGTAAAATTTAGAGCCAAATTTATGGCCTTTGAGGCAGGGTCTGCATTGTTGTAGGCGCGCATATTTCCGTATCCTTGTTCCTGGTTCTGTTATATGTTTCTTCCTTTCACTGTAATTTGGGCATAGAGTTTGGTTTCCTGGATTCTTATTTGCTGACTCAAACCTTTTGGGGCTTGAGGAAAGGCATAGAAATAAAAAGACTAAAGGAGGGTCATGTCCTGGATTGTTGGAAGGGCCAGATGAGGTGTGTGGGAGCACTGAGGACAGCATCGCTCACTGCCAGGTGCAGGTCAGGTCTGGGTCATGGGCAGCAAGCAGACAGAGGCTGGGTTCCACTGCCCTGCCCAGGGGTTGCAAGGCCCCTGGGAGAGAATCCCATAGCTGAGTGTCCGGTATTTCACCGGGCATTGCTCCTCCTCAGGAGTGTCCTTGGCAGGGTGGACTCAGGACTTCTCCCTGAAGTTCTCCCTCGCTGCCACAGAATCTGTTGTGTGAGGACCTGGGGTCTTGTCAGCCCACTGCCGAAGCAGGCCCAGAAGCCTCTTGAGCCATGTGGTTTTCCCTAGTCTTGACCTTAATTGTCCATCAGACCCTCATGAGTCTATGTCCTGCATTTGTCCGGTATCTGCCCTGTCCTCTCCCTCCTGGAATATTGCAGCCTCCACTTTTGTCTCCCGGCCCTTGTAAACTTCCCTCATATTGCTCAGATCTGCCTTCCTAAACCACAGACCAGGTGGTGCCACGCTCTGGGAGGCTTCCCCTGCCATTGGGAAAAGTTGCGGTATCCTTTCTCTGTGCCCCAGCCTGTCTGGCTTCTTACCTGACAAGCTGCGCACCTGCTCTCCTTCTGATTCTTGGCCCCTCTCTGTCCCTGGTGCTTTTCTATGTATCCATCAATGCCCTGCCTAGGAGCAAGTACTCTGAGCGTCCTGCCCAGGCAGGTGACCCTGCTGCCCACACCGTGCCCGCCTCTTACAGCTGCTTACACTGACGAGGCCCTGCTGCTTACTTACAGGGCTGTGAGCTGCCACCTCTTTGTGTTCTAAATTCTGGGGTCTCATGATGCTGAGCTGTGATGAGTATGTTGTAAACGTGTGATGAGTGAGTAGTGTTCTCTGCCAGGAACAGAGACTGTTAGCTCCGAGGAGACTCCTTCTGGCTGGAGTCCAAGGAGAAGGTGGCACGGTCTGATGAAGAGAGGGCAGGCTTGCTGCCACTTTGCTGACAGTGTATGTGTCTTCCATTTTCTGAAGTCAGTTTCCTCATTGTTACAGTGGGGGTTTAATGGCCTGTTGCAGAGGTGGAGTTGTGCGGATTGCAGGAGCCATCCCACAGAGCCTCCTGCATCTCTTCCCTTCTCTAGTCGTCGGACTTTCCCTCCTTGCATTGCATTCCCACTCCACGTGGTTCACATGAGGCCACTTTCCACTGCTGTAATTTTTTGCCCATCTCTGGCAGGAAGAGCTAGAGCACCTGAACCAGGCCAGCGAGGAGATCAACCAGGTGGAGCTGCAGCTGGATGTGAGTGTTCCTCCTTTTCCTCACACCCTTGGGCTGGTCTCGGAGGTGTCTCCTTCTCTCCCTGTTCAATATGGTGGCAGGGGAGGGGGCATGTATGAAAAACAAGAGGGGCTGGGACCCACCCATATGCCTTCCCTCTGCCCTATGTCCCTGTCCCTTTTCCAGGAGGCCAGGACCACCTATCGGAGGATCCTGCAGGAGTCAGCAAGGAAGCTCAACACGCAGGGTTCCCACTTGGGGAGCTGCATCGAGAAGGCCCGGCCTTACTATGAGGCTCGGCGTCTTGCTAAGGAGGTATGGCCGGCTGACATGCATTGCAGAATGGCCGCATGCAGAGCCTGGCCCTGGACTCTTCTGTCTCTGTGTGGAGTGGAAGACAGAACACTTTCTCATTTCCTTTTTCTTTTATGTCTCTTCCCTTTGGTTCATGTCTCTTTGCTCATCCCTTCATTCCTTTACCCTTTTCCTCCCCTCTCTTTTTTTTAAAGCACAGATACTGTGGGTTCATTATTGGGAGACTGTAATGTAACTGTAGCTATAAAACAAGAAGAAAACCAAAATCACCGCAAATCCTACCATGTGCGTGTTTCATGTTTTTTGTACCTAGGGTTTGTTTTCGTCAAGTATGGTTAGGTGGCAGACACAGAGACAGCTGCCTTGAAAGAAGAGCTTATTACTTAACATTTCCAAGAAGAAAGGGCATGCCAAACCACGTAGGGGTCAGAAGGCACGTGAGGAGAGATTGGCTCAGAGCCTTTATTGTGCTTATAATGAATGGGAAGGAATGGGTAAGGCAGGGTAGGCAACATTGAGCAAATTCAGAATTAGAGAGCTTGAATAAATGCGGGCTCTGGGCCATAGCGGTGGTCTCTGTGTTTTGGTACCTGGTCCAGGGGTAACATAGGGCAGGGGAAACATTGGCATGGGGTGTGAGAGTTAGATAAAGGGGGTGGTGGGTTTTGGATTGGTTGGTGTGCATGCGACAAGTGTGCTCATAGAGGAGTTTACTGTGTTTAGGACTTAGCTAGCCCTAGGAGGGCCGCAAGGCCCCCGAGATGTCAAAGCACCATAAAATATAGAAAATAAAAAACGTAGTTAATACGGCACGGATAACCCCTTAATTTTTTTGGTATATATTTTGCCAAAATGAGATGACCTGGTATGTGTTATTTTTATTCCTTTATTTTATTTATATTATGACATGGTTCCATGTCAGTGAATATACATCCATGCTGTCATTTTTAAGACCTGCCTAATATTTCCTTACATTATTATTATTATTCATTTAATCAGTCCCCTCTAACTGAAAACTTGGGTTGGTTTCCATTGTTTTGTTTGGTAAGCATGGCTGTGACGAGTATCTCTGAGCACTTGTCTTCCTTCAGCTTACCTGCTGGACTGGAGTTGATGAAATCAGGGGCGTGCTTTCTGTGAGACGTGGTCCCTGTCGCTCACCACCTTGCAGCTAAAGTGGTGGGGATTTTTCTTTGTTCTCCCTAGGGTAAAAAAGGCCAGTGGCCTTTGTAAGTGCTGATTTCACACACTCACCCTCTAGTGTATCGTTTTCCAGTCTTTGTTTCTACATTTATTTCTTTTAAGTCCTATCCTTACAAAATATTCTTTATAGAATGTTATTTTTTTGGCACTTACGCTCAGTGCCGTTTGGGCAGTGAAGCTGACGTTGCACTGGGCCTTCCTCCTCCTCTTGTCCTCGTCCTCCTAAGATGGGTCTCCCCGGGCGGGCAGGGGTCCGTGGGGCCCCCCGCCCTGACGGCCCGCTCTTCCCAGGCCCAGCAGGAGACCCAGAAGGCAGCGCTGCGGTACGAGCGGGCGGTGAGCATGCACAACGCCGCCCGGGAGATGGTGTTTGTGGCTGAGCAGGGAGTCATGGCCGACAAGAACCGGCTGGACCCCACGTGGCAAGAGATGCTCAACCATGCCACCTGCAAGGTGAGCCAGGCGGTGCCAGCAGGTCTTCTCGGGTTCGGCTGCTTCCTTTGCTCTCCTTTCATCCCATCACCCTCCTGCCTCATCTCTCTTCTCCACTCCAGCCTTTCCTCAGCTTCGATTCTGTTTCGGGCGAAACCTCTTCCTTGCTCTCTGCCCTGTTTGGGCTTTGCTAGTGTATCTTGTGAAGTGTAGTTTGCGTATCATTTCTCAGCTACTCAAAGGAGAGTGGGGAGTGGGAGGACCCTGCTATCAGCTGCAGTCTGCCACCTTCACCTTGTATAGACGTTAGTCCATTGGGGTCGTTACAACAAAATAATGTAGACTGGGTGGCTTAACAGCAGTTTATTTCTCACAGTTGTGCAGGCTAGGAAGTCCAAGCTCAGGTGCAGGCCGGTTTGGTATCTGGTGGCGAGGGCCTGCTTCCTGCTTCCTAGACAGCTGGCGGTCTTTTCACTGTGTCCTCATGAGGTAGAAGGGGGTGCGTGGGAGCTCTGCAGGACCTTTTACGAGGGCGCTAATCCCACTGAGACTGCCCCCCTCCCCCCCCCACATAACCTGATCACCTCTCAGAGGGCCCACATCCAATGCCATCACCTTAGGGGTTAGGATTTCAAATGGGAATTTTGGGGGGATACAAACATTTAGTCTCTAGCAGCAAATGCCAGCTCCTGAAGGATGGTCATGTCTCGAGGGGCAGAAGCGCGGGTCCTCAGTGAGTGATGTGTGTCCTCTGCCCCGTCTGGGCCAGGTGAACGAAGCGGAGGAGGAGCGGCTTCGTGGTGAGCGGGAGCATCAGCGGGTGACTCGGCTGTGCCAGCAGGCTGAAGCTCGGGTCCAAGCCCTGCAGAAGACGCTCCGGCGGGCCATTGGAAAGAGCCGCCCCTACTTTGAGCTCAAGGCCCAGTTCAGCCAGATTCTGGAGGTAGGGGAGTAGTGGGAGAGGGGGACGGTATGTGAACCAGGCAGGAAGGGGGCAGGGATGGAGAGTGAGGGCAGTTCAAGGGGTGCCTCTCTGGGCCATCTGCCAGACCAGTGTGGTGGGACAGGTGCTTGGAATGACCCACAGGAGTGGGAGTTGGGCTTGGAGAATAGGTACTGGCGGAGAATGGAGTTGAAAGGAGATAAATGAGAAGAAGTGGGAATCGGGAAACCAGGGAGAATGGGGACAAGGAACTGGCCAGCCAGGGGAAGGGAACAGTGGGGAGAGGAGGAGTGGGTGGGAATGAAGACCTGGGGGGAAGGTCTTAGAGGTCAGGCTTAGGTGAGGAGCAGGGCAGGATGGCTGGGGAAGAGGAATCAAAGAGGAGGAGTGAAGGGGGGGCTGGGCTGGGCGGGGTGGAGCCCTGCGGGTTTGGGTTGGCTGGTCTGCGAAAGGAGGCACTGTGCAGAGTGCTGGTGGGGTTGAAGGGACTCGGCTCCAGGAGCCATGGAGCTGCCCGTTGGATCGCCTCACTCTGTTCCTCTCTCTGCAGGAGCACAAGGCCAAGGTGACGGAGCTGGAGCAGCAGGTGGCCCAGGCCAAGACCCGCTATTCAGTTGCCCTGCGCAACCTGGAGCAGATCAGCGAGCAGATTCATGCCCGGCGCCGGGGCCAGCCCCCTCATGGCCCAGGCCAGCGGCGCTCCTCCCCCGTGGGGGCAGAGGCTGGGCCTGATGGTGGGGAGGACGGGGACAGTGGGATCATTGAGGGGGCTGAAGGCGGGGGCCTGGAGGAGGGCAGTAGCCTGGGGCCTGGGCCTGCCCCGGACACAGACACACTTAGCCTGCTGAGCCTGCGCACGGTGGCCTCGGACCTGCAGAAGTGTGACTCGGTGGAGCACCTGCGGGGCCTCTCAGACCACACCAGTCTGGACGGCCAGGAGCTGGGCTCCCGGGGCGGGGGCCGGGGGGGCCGCCACCAGCGAAGCATCAGCCTGTAGTCCACGCTCAGGGTGGCTCGTTCTCTTCAGCACCACTGGCCCGTGTAGGGCCAGACAGGCTCCAAGCTACCTCTCCTCAGGTCCTCACTTCCCTTGGAGAGGTCAGGTTGGCCCTTGTCTCTGGTGGATTTCTCCCTGTCCCTGCCCTCCCAGTTCCCTCCTTGCAGGTGGCAGCTCTCTTTGCCTTACCCCTTCAGAAGGCTTCTCTCTGGCTCTCACGTTTGCCCTCTCCCTGCTAGCTCCTCATGGTCTGATGCCGTTTGCTGCCCCCTTTCTGCTTTCCTTCCATCTGTCTGGCTTTCCCCTCAGGGAACTTGGTCTAGAAGGCACAGGGAAGCCCGTCAGAGATGCTGGGTCCTGGCATCTTGGCCCCCTAGCTCGAGGAAATAGGTGTCCCTTCCACCTTCCCATGTCCCGAGGGGGTCTAGGGATGTTACAGAGCTCTTCTGGCAGCCCTGTGCCCTAGGCCTCTGTCCCAGCCTGCCCATCTGGAACCTGTAAAATGCGCTGTAGGACTGTGTGCCTCTGGAAAACACTACTGATCCCTACAGTGCTCCCTCCTCATGATCGAAGCCACTTTGCTGTGTCCCGCAAAGCAGGACTGGAAGGGTACCAGTGTCAGAGAAGGTGAAACGCAACCGCACTGTCAACAGAGAGGACCCCACTCATTCCAAATAGGCTCCCATGTGCATGGTGTTTCCCCCAGCCGGGCTGGGCCGTTAACATTGCTAAGGTGCTCGTGGGTCTCTAACAGGGTCCATGTTGGGAGTTGGACATGTAATGAGGTCCTGATGGTTGAGGCCCTCGCCATTCCTGCTGCAGAGTTGGGTTTACTTTTTCTGGGTAGAGGATGTTGAGCTGAATCTCAGCACCCTCCTGCGGGGTGGAGTTAGGGAATTTGGTGCTCAGTTGCTCTCCCTCTCTCTTTCCCAAACCAAACGATACCTACTCCAGGATCCCTAGGGGGAAATGCTCAAGTTTGGCTGCAGAGCCTTCTCTGATGCAGGGAGGGGTTGCCCTGGGTGAGGGGACCCACCCTCCATGGGGAGCAGCTCTGGGGGTTTGGTGGTGCTCCGGGCTATATGGGGGGAAGGGTGGGGAAGCCACGCCAGATCTGGGTGCCTTGGGAGAACTGGTCCTTCCTGCTTTCCCACCCAGAGAGGTCTGAGAGCTGGACTCTGGGCAGGATAGTTTGTGCCTAGGGCACTGTGCTGCCGCCGTCAACTGGGAGGAGTGGGCTTCCACATGGAGGGTGTCTCCCTCTGCTAAGGTGGTCACTATGAGAACCACTGGGTTTGAGGTGGCCATGGTGGAGGGAAGAAAGGGAGGGAGGACGTGGGCCTGTGTGTGTGCGTGTGCTGGGGGAGTGCGTGTGTGAGTGTGAGTGTGAGAGAGAGAGAAGGGTATGCCCCTGATTTTATTTAAATAAAATAGTTTATGTAACAGTAATGTTTGCTGTGCCTGTCAGGGGAGGGAGGAAGAGACGGGCAGAATGTGTGTGGGGGGGCTCTTTTGCTGGGGGAGTCAGGGCAGGGGAGATGTCCCCTCCTCCCACCTGCCAGGCAAGGAGGGGTCTGCAGGGTGGGGAGGACATTGTCAGCCACTGGTGGTCTAGGAAAGATGGGGGTGCCAATCCTGGGTGTGTCGACGTAGGCGTGAAGGAAGGGGAGGGACGAGAGTAGGGTTGTAAGAGACTTAAACTTCAGGTAGAATTTTTGCCTCCTGCAATGTTGGGACATACGCTAAGTTTTTTTTTGTTGTCTATCTAAAATTTAATATAGATGAAAGGTGACACTCAAATCACGACTTAACCTGTTGTGGGGTGCAAAGGATTTGAGTGTGTTTGGACCCACAGCCTGTGAAATATCTAGTGGAATCAGGTCGGGGAGGGATGAGAACTTCAGGAGCCGTGGACGTGTAGAGTGAAAGCTTTGGATTGAGCACCATCAGCCTCAGCCCCAGAGGTGCGCCTACATTTCGAGCCAGGTGAGGAGGGGGTCAGCCAAGGGTTGGAGAAGGCACTGCAGGGAGGAGGGCAGGAGACCCACTGGAAACTTGATGGGGAATGGGTGTCCTGAAGGCCCTTGGGCAGAGCGGAGGCCAGAAGTTGGGATGGAAGGGCAGAGCAGTGACCCCGGTGATCTCAGATGGCAGATGGGCCATCGGGAGCCGCTGTGTTCTGAACGTGCACTGCAGGTACGGTCCAGGTGTGACACTGCCTTTCCCAGCCTGGCCTTTTTTTTTTAACCAATTTATTTTTCTCACAGTTCCAGAGGATAAGTCCAAGGTCAAGCTGTCAGTAGGACTCGTGCCTTCTGAGGGTTGTAAGGGAAGGATCGGTTCCAGGTCTCTCTCCTTGCAGATGCGTCTTCTCCCAGTGCCTTCATCTGTATCTTCCCTGTGTACGTGTCTGTGTTCACATTTCTCTCTTACAAGGATACCAGCCCTATAGGATCAGGGTTCACCCAAATGACCTCATTTTACCTTAGTCACCTCTGCAAGGACCCTATCTCCAACTACAGTCATGTTGTGACTACGTTACAACTTCAGCATATGAATTCCGAGGGAGACACAGTTCAGTTCATAACAGCAAAAAAGACAGTCATCCCTCTAAACAATGTAAATGGTACCTGATCCTGTTCTTCCCATTGCAACATCACTGGACTTAATCTACCATTTTGCTTATCGGAATGCCCTTCAACTGACCTCTCTTCCCAATTGAGAAATAAAGTGTGGTAAGGCAGATGGGTGCCAAAATATTCCCTTTATTACTGGAAAAGTTGTTAATGAGAATGCATGGTCTGTGTCCTTGGACAAGTAGGCTTTCTGAGATGACACCCCAGGGTCATCCTTCCCTGCCCAGTCCTGCAAGTCTCTTGGTGTGAAGGAGCCCCAGAAAAGAAGGGTTGACTGTGCCCACCCAGTTCTCACCAAATCACCTACGAGATAAGAGTGGAGAGCTGGCAGGACAGTTGAGCTAATGGTGCTGCTTCCATGTGGAGGAAAACAGCCACGGCAAATATGCCCCCCCCATCCTAACAATAGTGTCTTGTACTTATCCAGTGTGTCTTGTGCCAGGCATGTGAATTTACCCGTTCCCACGACAGCCTTATGAGGTAGGTAGCACGATGACTGTTTTCACAGATGAGAATACAGGCATTGTGGGGATGCCTAGTTTGCCCCCAGCCTTGTAGAAGTGAATGGAGACATTTGGACTTGAGTCCACAGGGACCAGAGGTGAGAAAGTGGCGTGGGCGTAGTCACCTCTTAGGAAGTTTTACTGGGGAGGGGAGCTGAGAAATATCAGGAGGCTCAAGGAATTTTGTTTTAAAATGAACAAGAGATGGTCAAATTGGGGGGGTGTCTCATTTTCCCCATTCCTGTATGATGTCGTAACACTGAGTAGTAAGTTCTTCTGAACTATGTCCTCTCCAAGTGAGCAGTTGGGCCTCAGTCTCCCCAGCACTTAATACATGCCTGACACTTAAATATTCAGTAAACATGCTTTTGCATCTCCCTCCTCCCCCCAGTCCAAATCTATGCCAGGTTACTTTGTTAGACCCTGGTTAGGAGGTCAGCATCTGTATCCACAGCCCTATGATCACATCTCCACATCTCCAGGGGGCTGTTCTCAAATTTCTCTAACCTCCAATTTTACCACCTCTAAAATGAGAAAATCTAGGTGTGCCTACCACTACGCCAGGTCAAGGGGTGTTAGCCACAGTGAGCCATATTAGTGGCTTCCAGATGCGGTGAGCTTCAGTTAGGAGGCCTCCTTCTGTCTAGTGTTAGGGAAGGAGGCCTTTTTATAAAGGTCCCAGTGAGGTTTGGGGGAGTCACCCTTTGCCTCCGTGTGCGGAGCGAAGACGGGCTTCTCAGGTTGTCACCGTCCTGCCTTGTCGGCAGAGGGCAGCAGGCACCAGAACGCCGATGGAGAGCAATCTGAGTCGGCTGGGTCCTGGTCCTGATTTTCCTGCAAGCCTGTGAGGTTTGCCTCCTTCACACTTGGCAGGTGGTCCTGGGAGCCTGGGGTGGAGGGGGGGTAGGAAATGGGGTGTATGCATCAGAGTCCAACCCCGCCTGTCCCCACCTGGGCTTCTTGCATCGCTGATGTGCTTGGGATGGTCTGTCGTGTGTGAAAACTGCTTCAGGTGTGGGGGGGCACCAGGTCATTTGAGGCCAGATGTTCCGCGCTGCTTTTTTTTTTTTTTTTAAAGATTTTCTTTATTAATTTGACAGAGAAGAGTTATTGAGAGCAGGAACACAAGCAGGGGGAGAGGGAGAGGGAGAAGCAGGCTTCCCGCCAAGCAGGGAGCCCGATGCGGGGCTCCATCCCAGGACCCTGGGATCATGACCTGAGCCGAGGGCAGATGCTTAACGGCTGAGCCACCCAGGCGCCCCATGTTCTGTGCTTCTTGATGCCCTATTCTCCTCAGAACTCACCTCCTTCCTTGTCCTCCTTAGTGCCCTGTCCCTCTACCCTTCCTCAGCCTCCTTGCACATTCCCCTCTTGGGAAGTCCCTTTGGCTTCCCTCTACCACCACTCCTGAGCCTTGGGCTTCCACTCTGTCCACCATCCCTGGGCCCTAGGCTGCGACACTGCACTGTACCCTGAATTAAGGGAACCAGGGGACCATTTCGCTGGCTGGCAGAAGGAGGTGTAGTTTGTTAAATATTTAGCAGGATCTTAGAGTTGCAAACACTGTGGTAGGACTTGTTACGAATACCAGAAAGTATAATAATCGTGGGTTGGACATCGAGTTAAGGAACACAGATGGATAAAGGTAACAGGTGATACAGGGCAGTAAACAGATGTTTATTTTTTAAAAAAGATTTATTTATTTGAGAGAGAGCAGGGGGTAGGGGCAGAGGGAGAGAGAGAATCTAGGCAGAGTCCCCACTGAGCATGGAGCCTGACTTGGGGCTCTAATCTCACGACCCTGAGATCATGACCTTAGCTGAAACCAAGAGTCGGACACTTAACTGACTGAGCCACCCTGGTGCCCCGGACAAATCGATGTTTAAGAGGGCTGCAGTCAAGGAGAGGTCTGGGAGGTTAGGAAACAGAACTGAGGGCTTTGAGCAGGGAACTGCTCTCTGAAGCTCTGGACCAGTCCCTGTCCTCAGGCTGGAGAGTAGTGGTAAGAATCTTCCTCTTACACTCCCTTCTACCAGGCCTCTTGCCCCCATGCCTTACTCTTCTGAAATTGTCCCAAGCTTCTCTGGGCAGGGCCTGTGGCCCACCTGTCTTGGTATTCTCAGGGTGAGGCACAGGGCACTTTTCACCAGACATCTGTCCATTGACTTGCTTATACTTGTCCTACTCTTGGCACAACTTTTCTCCCTGCTTAACCTGCTAGACTTCTGCCTGTGGTTTGAGGCCCAGCTCATGTGGCCTTTGGGCCAAATCCCCAGGGTTCCAGTGACTTCTTGTAGGACTGGCTCAGTGTCACTCCTGGTGTCATCCCTGACTCCACCTCACTCAACACCTAACCTGGTACAATAAATGTTCTACAAAATAGAGTGACCATACATCATATATGGTCTAAACTGGGACACTTGAGTGTGAAAGGGGGCAGATGCAACCCAGGAATGACCATGCTGTCCTGAGAGAGCCGTCATTGGCCTGCCTCTGCCACGCAGGGCTGTGTGCATATGGATGAGGCACTTAGCTCCTCTGGGCTTTGGTGTTCCAGTCTTCAAGAAGGGGGGTCCAGACTGGGTAGATAACATCTTAGCTTATCAAAAGCACTAAAATGATATGGCTGGTGGAGGAGGTTGGGGCCTGTGAGAGGTATTTTGGTGAAGGCTGTGAGATGGTGGATGTGTTTGTAGAAAGTTATGGGGTCAGCACGAGAACTCCAAATCCAGGGTTGGTTAGGGCTCAGACTGGAGGCAGTAAAGAGCTGCTAGACATTTCTGCTTTGGACATGAGGTGATGTCGAAGAACTTGGGCAGTGATGTTTCCTTCCTCAGAGCGGGCAGGTGGTTATCACCCACAGTGGAGATACACCAGCTGACTTATTCATCAACACCGTTGGGAGGAGGGGTATAAAAATAAGTTTCTTCCCCATTTGAGACAAGAACATTTTGATCTAGGATGGAATGGAAATTAGTACTGTGAAGTTTGTCAAGAGCAGACAGTTCATCCTTTCCCAGCCGCTGTGGTGTCCTTCTTGGGCACCTTGTCCTTTTTCCTCTCTCCTTGTGATTTCTGCAATAACATGCTAAATAGGCAGGGTCTTCTCCACACCCAACAGGGCCTGTCCTCCTGCGGTGAGGTAGGAACTCTTACAGGGGTTGGGAGACTGAGAGAGGAGTGGAGGAAATAGTGGAAGTTGAGGGTTTCCTGGTATGAGGCTCCTTTAGTTGCAGGACTCTCAGAGGCTGCTGCTGGTTAGGGGAGAATGAGCATCTCTCATTTAAAGTAACCCCTTCCTTCTAACCTCAGTGGTACTGTTGTGGTTTCAGCCTCCCACTCTCCTTGGAGAGGGAGGCCAGAAGCGCACCTGCCTGTGCACCACAGGGTGGAAGTATGAAGTTTCTGTTCTCCCATTTGGGCTTTCTCCAGCTGATCTTTACCCAACCACCAATTCCACTTTGGACATGATTTTCTAAGCCCCTCGATCACAAACTCTTCCTTCTTTTTCAAACAGTTGGCATTTAATGGACGAGACTGTATAAAGCTACCCAGTTGGAAGGGGAGCCTGCCAATAACAAGAGAGGACATGAGGCCTTAGTATGGTTTCCTTTAGAGAGGGGAAGCTATGTCTTCATGGCACCAACAAAAACAAATGCAAAGTTAAAAAAAAAATGCAACCAGGTATGTTCATGTGCCACTTCGGATCTGCTCTTTATTTATTTATTTTTTTCTGAATTGAATTAGTTTTTCTTATATTTCTTATATTTTTTAAAAGACACATCCAGGGAGAAAGTGACAAGACAAGAAGGCAGAATCTCGAAGATAGGCAAATTGATCTGGAAGCATAAAAAGGTGGGGGAGGGATGAGAGAAAACACTCTGTAACTAGAGGAGCCACAAGAATTGGAGAAAGTGAAAGAAGTGGGAGAAGAGAGGAAGAGAGACATGAAGATATATGTAGTCATCTGGAGGGAAGGACCTGAGATAGGAAGAGGAAAATCCAGGTCACTGAGCTAGTAGCAGAAATGGTGTTCAGAGGTACCTGGGCATTGATAGAGTCCAGGTCAAATTTTATAGCTCTCCCTTATCTTGACCTATCTCAAGGTTGCTAGGTGTGGGCCTCACATGTGTCAGAATAGCTAAAATTAACAACACAGGAGATAACAGACTTTGGTGAGGATGCAGAGAAAGGGGAAGCATCTTACACTGTTTGTGGGAATGCAAACTGGAGCAGCCACTCAGGGAAACAATATGGAGTTTCCTCAAAAGGTGAAAAATATAACTACCCTACAATTCAGGATTTACACTACTAGGTATTTATCCAAAGGATACAAGCATACTGATTTGAAGGGGCACATGCACCCCAATGTTTATAGCAGCGATGTCCACAATAGCCAAACTATGGAAAGAGCCAAGATGTCCATCGACAGATGAATGGATAAAGAAGATGTGGCATACATATATAATGGAATATTACTCAGCCACCAAAAAGAATGAAATTTTGCCATTTGCAATGATGTGAATGGAGCTAAAGAGTATTATGCTAAGCAAAATAAGAGAAAGACAAATACCATATGATTTCATTCATATGTGGAATTC